GATGTGTAGGAAGAAAGAGCTCAACATGGAGACCCCATAGAAGTTTCTGGTTTCCTGCCTCCCAGTGGCCGCCCTGCCAACAAGATCAAGAATTCCTACTACATCATGGGAATGTAGCCGCCTCACCTCCTTACCTGAACAAGGCAGAGTAACACGGTTTTCATCCTTTGCAATAGACGCTACAATAAGGTTTCTGTCAGAAGCACTGGCAGCTGACCCCCAGCCTCACTGTCTTCTGCCTGTGACTGTTAATGAAACAGTGCTGATGCTTCTGCTGAGCTTCATAGACAGAACCTGTGGGGGAGCCACAAGTTTTCTTTTAAATGCTAACGTTCAATAAGATTAAAAAGTCCCGGCACTCAGGAGGCAGAGGCAGGTGGATCTCTGTGAGTTCAAGATCAGCCTTGTCTCCATAGAGAATCAAGTCCAGCTGGGGCTACAGGGAGACCGTGTCTCAAAAAGACCAAAAAAAAAAAAAAAAAAAAAAGTCTACGTGAAGGCATATTGACTCAAGCTTGATTCCCCAGATATCTTTCAGTGTGATTCTATCCACTGGAGCCTGGTTTATCCTTGAATAAAATCAACTTTCCCTCAGCCAGCAGTGATCAGTGATCCTCATTATTTTTATGAACTTAAAAAAAAACTTAAGAGCCGGGCATGGTGGCTCATGCCTATGATCCCAGGACTTCTCTCATTTTTCATTGTTGTTTTCTTTCTTTTCACATTGTTTTTATTATTCGTCCACGTTTAATGATGCACAGTAGTGACATTTAGCTTAGTTTAACCATACTATACTTGGAAGACATTCATGAGGGCACGGTCCCACCATGCTTCTGGAATATGAATAGATCTTTCCATGTGTTTATAAATGTATGGTGAGAGGACAGATGATTGCTTAGGAGTACCTGGCTGAAAATACCTGAGTGCCCTGGCATGAGAATGGATTCTAAGGGAATGACATGTAGTCAATCCAGGAAAAACAGAGAGGGAGAAGGTTGCAGAGTTAAAGCGTAGTGTCCTTCATTTTCTCAAAATGTAAAGGGCTTGAGGCCATCACGGATTTATGACAGCATTGTTCAGATAGTGAATTTTGAGATAAGATAACCATGTCTCTTCAAAAAAGACTACGTATTCTGTATACATTGTCGTGATAGCTTATGAGGACAAAGAGAAGTGTTGGGAATTATGCCCTCACTAAGTCAGAAGTACTAATCAGATATGTGTTCATCGTTTGAGAAATAATGACAGGCATTTGTACGATGACGAAATTACAGAAATATGAAAAGTTGCCCACTTGTGGCAGGAAGAAATGTGGCTCGAGTTTCTTGGAAGAACTGGGAGATAATACTGTTATGGATGAGTTGGACATTATTCTTCTGCCTGAACAGGATATAAACCATGGAGCTTCTGGCTCAGAGCATGTGGCTCCAAAACAGGTTATCAGTGATGTGAAACAAAGTTTCTCTTACTAAACAAAGAAGATTGGATCTACTGGAGCTGAAGATTTATAGTCAATTGCCCTGAAAAGGGTCTTGAAAATGCTCAAGCAGAAGGAGCTGCTACAAGACACCCACCTGCCCCCAGAGAACTTATAAGACATCACCCAACATTCCTGCCAAGTTTACAAGGAAGTGTCCAAGCTAAAACTGACATTTTGCTCTGGCACATTTCTCAAGAAAATGAGCACAAGTTGCCATAATTGATAGGTAAAAAGTTGCTGCAGAATGAATGGATAGAGAAGAAAGCACCAGGACACAGATAAAACTCCATCAGAACAGAGTTTATTAGCAAAGGAACACATGGGACAGATTCCCTTCTAGGAAGGGAAAATGTCTGCCCCAGGCCGTGAGATGGTGTCTTTTAAAGGGAGAGGCTTCTACTTCCTGCAGAAGGCAGGAAGATATTTTTTTTTCAAGTAAGGGGTGGGGGGGAGCAGGAGAGCAGGATTGTAAAAACCTGTCCCTTTTAGAGATCAAAGGGGAAGTCTGCTGTGTTGGCCAAACACTGGAGAAAAGTCTGCTTCTCTTGACTTAAAAAACCAAGGTGCTTAGCAACTCAGTTCCCTTTTCGCAGGGGCTTTAGAAAGCCAAAGTCTGTGAGACCCTGTTGGAAAGGGGGATGGCTGCTGCAGTTTGAAAACCTAATAATAATCATATGACTGAAAATGTAAGCAATGTATTTCGGACATCCAAAGGGACATACATGTCATTGTTGAGTTCCACATGGACCAAATTGTTTGAATAGTAGCACAAAAACCCAACTCCACTCCAGCTGTACTTCAGACTCTCAAAGTCATGCTTGGATTCACACCTGGATAGCATCTCAGAGACCCAAACACAGCTGAAGACCTGCAGATCCCATGAAACTTCATATACAATGCTGTGTGAAATACTACAATGGTGCATAAGGCAATCTGTAAATTCATGAATGGCAGTTTGGCTGAAGTATGTGTAGGAAAAGCAAATTCATACCTAGAACAGGTATCGATTTCAGCAAGCATAATGGAGTGCACCATTTCTATGATGGTGTAGACAACCAACAACAGTGTTACTGTCTAGTCTCAGTAGACAATGGTCCAATTTAAGTCTCTGTGTACAGTTTAGCACAAAGCTACAGCTATTGTCACATCAGTCTTGATCTGTAGACATCCATATTGATGAGCTTATTCACAAATTCTATGTCTGTCACTATTGCCAGTTTGTTCATGGGCTCTTAGAAAGTGAAATTGATGGTGATGGGAGAAGTTGATTAGTAAGAATTGGTAACTCTATTCACTTGTTTAATGAAATCTTGTGCTGACTTCATTTTTTAAAGAGCATTTACATGGGACATATTTATCTTAATATCTTTTGTTCAGTTGAACTGTTCTATCCACTTGTACTTACACCAAATATCTTTCTATTCAATTTTCCAAGTATGCTCCTTCAAAGTCTCTGAAACCAATGGTTGAGCTCATGAATCAGTAAATAATCACAATTCTGTGCATTTCTATTTCCAGAAAAATGCATGATCATGAACACTGCTTAAAATTATGATCACTCTGAAGATTACCTTCACGATTCTCCTTCAGAAATGTGACAGAACAGAAACATACTAAAAAGATGCAAATCTCCATTTGTGGCTCATAGCTGCATAGCATGTAAAATCATAGAGATGTCAGCACTAATGGTTCCATGTAAACCATTTTAAGACACTGGAATACAGAATTAATATATAGTTGATGTGGAAGAGAAAAAGCAATAATGCTGGACTTGACACGTGAAAAAAACTTTCTAGTGCTCCTTATGAACATGTAAGGTGATAAATTATTTGCAATACTATTAACATTACACAAGTTCCTGTTGGTAAATTCGCTCAAGTAAGAACACCAAAGCTTGCACCACAGCTGCAATTAGATTCATGGATTACATATAAAATAAATGTCTACACAATATATGGTTATACATCCATCAATATACTTCACAGGCCAACTAGGACTCCTACAGTGAGATGGTGGATCTCCCCCAGCCCCCGCATCTTTCAAATTCTGAATAGTGGCAATGTTCTTTAAAATCCCTCGAGGAATGCAGGGTGACTTGGGTTCATATTTTCTCTGATACAGGAGCTTTGATCACTTCCATCCTGATTCCCAACCACAATAGCACTCAGTTCACAAGCCATGGAACCAATGTGAGGATTATGCCAAATTCTAAGGAGATTTATGCAAATTTTGGAGTCTGGATTAGCTACAGGGTGAATTTAGGCACACATTGTTAACCTGAGTCAGACTTTGAGTGCAACTCCATTGATGACATCAACTCCATATGCACTGGCATTATGTGTAGCGAAATGTCTGTCTGGAGTCTGATAGAAACAGTCTATTCAAAGACAGTGTGACAAAAGCCTGAGTGTCTACTTTTCCCCAATGTACACTTGTCCAACTTAAGGGCTATATTTTGGGAAGAGAAATGGAAAAGTGCTTGATGTTTTAGCATGATACATTAAAACACACTATGGGGGCTGGAGAGATGGCTCAACACTTAAGAACACTAGCTGTTATTGCAGAAGACCAGGGTTGGAATCCCAGGCGACTTGACAGATATCAACTGCCTGTAACTATAGTTCCAGTGGATCAGACACCCTATTATAACATCCGTGGACATTGCATGACAGAGTTGCACTTACATATATGCAGGCAATACATGCATACACATAAAATAAAAATGATAAAAATTTTTAAAACCATAAAAACACACTGTGCTGTTTTGTAAGTGTAACTTGAGTTCTCAGTGATATTCACAATGGGATGGGAAAGTGAAGGCTTTCTCACATTTTTTTATATTGCTAGTTCCTCATCCATTTGAATCAATAAAGTTTGATTGGCAATTTGGCAATTTTGTACTTAATTCTGTTTTCCTTCAGTACACTATGAAGTTCTGTAACATATAAGTGTTTCAAAATTTTCGAGACTGTTAGACATATCCCTTTAGTGCAGATGCTATTTTGTATTCTAAGGATTAAGTCCAGGGTTAAGGATGTACCAAATACTGAGCAATTGTAAACTATCTCTTTAGTAGGAGTTTTTGATAACTGCTACCTTTTGACATGATTAAAGGAAGAGCCACATTCTTTAAACTGCAGTTTCTCCCTTTATTATAATTTCTTTGATGTTCTCTAAGAGTTGAAATACAAGGAATGGACTTCCCAAAACATTTTCATTTGTGAGGTTTCTCTTAAGTGTGAATTCTCTGGTACCTTCTTGTGCTGAGTGCTCAGTTGGTCACATTCATCTTACCAGAATGGGTACTTTCCAGTATGAATTCTCTGATGAAATATTAAATCTGACATACAACTAAAGGACTGGTCACAAGCTTCACATTTGTAGGGTTTCTCTCAAATGAAAATGCTGATGTCTTCTAAGAATTGACCGTCTCACTAAAGGACTTGCCACATTCTTCACATCTGAAGGATTTCTCTCCAGTATGTATTTGCTGATGTAATCTAAGATGTGAGCTTTTTTCCCCAGTACATATTTGCTGCTGTCTTTTAAGAATTTACCATTCACTGAACGACTAGCTACATTCTTTACATTTGTAGGGTTTCTCTCCAGTATGTATTTGCTAATGTAATCTAACATGCGATATTTGACTGAAGGACTTGCCACATTCTTCACATCTGTGGGGTTTCTCTCCAGTATGTATTTGCTGATGTAATCTGACATATAATATTTGACTAAAGGACTAGCCACATTCTTCACATCTGTAGCGTTTCTCTCCAGTATGTGTTCGCTGATGTACTCTCAGTTGTGACATTTGATTAAAGGACTTTCCACATTTTTCACATCTGAAGGGTTTCTCTCCAGTATGTATTCGCTGATGTGATCTAAGATGCGACACATAACGAAAGGACTTGCCACATTCTTCACATCTGAAGGGTTTCTCTCCAGTATGTATTCGCTGATGTGATCTAAGATGCGACACATAACGAAAGGACTTGCCACATTCTTCACATCTGAAGGGTTTCTCTCCAGTATGTATTCGCTGATGTGATCTAAGATGCGACACATAACGAAAGGACTTGCCACATTCTTCACATCTGAAGGGTTTCTCTCCAGTATGTATTCGCTGATGTGATCTAAGATGCGACACATAACGAAAGGACTTGCCACATTCTTCACATCTGAAGGGTTTCTCTCCAGTATGTATTCGCTGATGTGATCTAAGATGCGACACATAACGAAAGGACTTGCCACATTCTTCACATCTGAAGGGTTTCTCTCCAGTATGTATTCGCTGATGTGATCTAAGATGCGACACATAACGAAAGGACTTGCCACATTCTTCACATCTGAAGGGTTTCTCTCCAGTATGTATTCGCTGATGTGATCTAAGATGCGACACATAACGAAAGGACTTGCCACATTCTTCACATCTGAAGGGTTTCTCTCCAGTATGTATTTGATGATGTAATCTAAGATGTGACCGTTCACGAAAGGACTTCCCACATCCTTGACATCTGTAGGGTTTCTCTCCAGTATGTATTCGCTGATGTGATCTAAGATTTGACACATAACGAAAGGACTTGCCACATTCTTCACATCTGTAAGGTTTCTCTCCAGTATGTGTTCGCTGATGTACTCTCATTTCTGACATTTGATTAAAGGACTTGCCACATCCTTGACATCTGTAGGGTTTCTCTCCAGTATGTATTCGCTGATGTACTCTAAGATTCGACACATAACGAAAGGACTTGCCACATTCATCACATCTGTAGGGCTTCTCTCCAGTATGTGTTCGCTGATGACCTCTAAGATTTGATATTCGACTAAAGGATTTGCCACATTCGTCACATCTGTAGGGTTTCTCTCCAGTATGTGTTCGCTGATGACCTCTAAGATTTGATATTCGACTAAAGGATTTGCCACATTCTTCACATCTGAAGGGTTTCTCTCCAGTATGTATTTGATGATGTCTTCTAAGATGTGACTGTTTACTAAAGGACTTGCCACATTCTTCACATCTGTAGGGTTTCTCTCCAGTATGTGTTCGCTGATGAACTCTCAGTTGTGACATTTGATTAAAGGACTTGCCACATCCTTGACATCTGTAGGGTTTCTCTCCAGTATGTATTCGCTGATGTGATCTAAGATGTGACACATAATGAAAGGACTTGCCACATTCTTCACATCTGTAGGGTTTCTCTCCAGTATGTGTTCGCTGATGTCTTCTAAGATTTGACACATAACGAAAGAACTTGCCACATTCTTCACATCTGTAGGGTTTCTCTCCAGTATGTGTTCGCTGATGCACTCTGACATTTGATTAAAGGACTTGCCACATCCTTGACATCTGTAGGGTTTCTCTCCAGTATGTATTCGCTGATGTGATCTAAGATGTGACACATAACGAAAGGACTTGCCACATCCGTCACATGTGTAGGGTTTCTCTCCAGTATGTGTTCGCTGATATACTCTAAGATTTGATATTCGACTACAGGATTTGCCACATTCTTCACATCTGAAGGGTTTTACTCCAGTATGTATTTGATGATGTAATCTAAGATGTGACCTTTCACTAAATGACTTGCCACACTCTTCACATCTGTAGGGTTTCTCTCCAGCATGTATTTGCTGATGTACTCTAAGATTTGATATTTGACTAAAGGACTTGCCACATTCTTCACATCTGTAGGGTTTCTCTCCAGTATGTATTCGCTGATGTGATCTAAGATTTGATATTCGATTAAAGGACTTGCCACATTCTTCACATCTGTAGGGTTTCTCTCCAGTATGTGTTCGCTGATGTACTCTGAGTTGTGATATTCGATTAAAGGACTTGCCACATTCTTCACATCTGTAGGGTTTCTCTCCAGTATGTATTCGCTGATGACCTCTAAGATATGACATGTGACTAAAGAACTTACCACATTTTTCACATTTGTCTTTCTCTACATTGTGTACGCTCTGATGTCTTCTAAGAGGTGAGCTCTCCAAGCAAAGGAAAAAAGAAGACAACATTTCAATATGTAAAATAAGGATGAGCCAATCACACACAGATACATAAGAAACATGTAATAGGCATGAATATAATTTTCAACATTGTGAAACATTCAAGTAAATAAAAATAAAAATCTATGGGGTAAAAGATGGAGATTAAATTAAAACTAAAGTGAGAAAATTTATTCAATAAAAACAAATTAGAAAATATATGAAAAATACATGAATGTACAGTCACAAGAGAGT